GTCTTCTGGGGCGTCTCAAGAAACACCAGTGAACCTAGTTGGCGACATGGAAGTTGTGAGTGGATGAATCAGCTATGTCTGGAATCTAAAGTTAAAATTGTTTGTGTTTTGAAGTATTAATTGCTGCAGTTGTCTTGTGTATTTAAATATCCTGTCTTTCCTCTTAGCATTCTGAACAGCCAGGGTAGGTATTTGTGTGACTTTATGTGTAGTGAGGAAACAATGGCTTCCTATTTCAAAGACATAAGCAGTTTGTAGAAAAAACTGGCTCATAGAAAATCCAGGTTGAGTTCCAACAGGCCTGTATGTTTTTTTGTAAAGTGTAGCCTGCTGCTCTCTGCTGTATTGAGGCTGTCCTCTTTGGTCATTTTCTGCTCTGTTATCGTACTACACAGCAACTACATTACTAGCACTGTATACAGCACTGCTGTAATTAAAGCAATTCCATTTTACTACACCTATCTCCTTATGACATATTTTGTACAGTCATTTGTATTGTGTGATACAGTGATATTAACGCTAACATGTTTTCTTGCTCTGACTTTATCACAGAACAAAGATGAAGCTCAAGTCACCTTCTCAGTCAAGTGGTCAGAGGGTATTAAACCGCAGAAAGCTAAAGTAGAACTCCAAAAAGTTCTTCAGACTTGGGCCAACAGAACCAAATGTAACCAAGACTACACAGTTTTAAATGTCTTAGAGGATGGGAGAGCTGTGATAAAGATTAAACCTGCTCCAGGTGCAGTATGACTGTTATTCTGTTTTTATTTAAAATTAAATTGCACTTCTTGTATAAATATGTTTTTTTTTTTGGTTTTTTTTCTTTTAAGCCTTGATTGAGCTTCAGAAACTGAGTGGACCAGAAAATATCTACTTCTAACAATCAGCCTGGGTTCAGTGGCAAAAACAACCAAGCACGTGACTTCATACAAACTATTTGGACAGGCGCATGAAATATTAGCACTGTCTCAAGGAATAACATTGCTGCCATGCCGCCACCAAGCAAAGCAAGGAAATTCGTGGGACCATATTAGAATAATCACTTCAAAAATTGGATGCAATTTTAGACATTTTGACTTACAGGGTTTAGAATATTTATGAAAAGATTCTCTATATAGAAAAAATAGACACGGATGGCAGAAAACACTGAAAGTCAAGAGCTCGCACTTTATGAAGATCTGTGTTGAAACCCTCTTTTAAGTTATTTGGTACAGTTTATGCTTGACCAACAGTGAGCTATCTAAACATTGAAATACACACCATAAGGCTTATACCAAAGTAACGGAAAAACAATTCCATGGACAAACACAGATTAGTTTCCGAAGCATTTAATTCAATTTCCAGGTGTTTCCGGGTGGACTGGAGAAACTACATTTCCCAGGTTTTTCCAGGATCATGCACAGGGGATATCACATGTGTTCTTGGGTCAGGTGGTTTGATTTTAACGTAAATTTTTATTTCAGCAAAACAGAAATCATGATCTGATTTTAGGTTATTCTGCTGTAATGCGACCAATTACTTGACGAACTTGCATGCGATCATGACGAAATGGGGTCAGGTTCCTATTTTAACCTGTGGATTATCTTCCTTACAATTGGACAAAAAACGTGAAACAATGGCAGCAAAACCCCTTTTACTCAAAAAAAGATTTACGGTAAATTTTTGTCAGGTTGGAATACCGTATACATGTTGCCTAACACCAGTAAACTCTTGGGAGATGTCAAATGCTTATCTGGTGCCACGCTCAAAGCAACTGTTATATGATAATATGTGAAACATTGTAAGAGAAGAGAAGTAAAGACATCCATATAATTTGTCCTGCATACTCGAGCACTAAAAATCATCTTAGCTGTTTTTGCGTGTTGAAACAACTAATTTCAGCCCACTTTTTTATTAAAGGCCCTACGTTCATACTGCAGGGCTAAAGCTTTGGCCAGAATCTGGATTCTTTTTTGCTTGTATAGCTACGCATGCGCTGGGCATCATTCACAGAAAATCATTTTCTCTCCCATTCATTTCTGAGGTGAATGGCAAAAAACACAGTAGAATCCATGCTTGCGTTGCTCGGCTAATCTTTTCAGTTCTGATTTGCGGTCACTTTCTCAAATGTGGCTCCAAATTCAGATACATGGTCTGATTTTTGCCCAATAAACCTCAGTGTGAACATTCATATTAGAGCTTCAGCTGAACTTTTATGTCTGCATTCAGCTCCTCTCTGACTTCTTGGTCAGGGTAGGCCCGGGGTCAGATACCAAATAGACATGGTGGAAACAAAGGTATGTACAAGGGTATAAGTGCGCCTGAGTATAACATCTAAAATTAGACTTCCACGCATCAAAAAAAAATTCTATTCTGTACAAGAATTAAACTCAGAGATTTTGGCTACCAGTTGTGACCGCTCTTTTCGTCCTCTGCATACGTTTGACGGTTATTTGGGTGCTTCAGTGTATATGTACAGTGGTGATGGCGTGTTGTGGGAGTGGTGCTATCCTGATTGCTCCATTCAACACAGCGCTCTTGCTTAGAGGCCTCTGACCGACGCAGGGCCACTGAACCCGGTGGCACCATGTGGATGTGGCAATCTCTGGTACAGCCTGAAGAAAGAGCTCTGACAGCATGTCTCATCCATTGCCTGGCCACTTTCCTTCCAGATCCTTCTATAGTGAGCTTTTGCACTTTGATTTGCCTTGATCTTGGATGCCAGATTTCTTAAAGTCCACACCAAACCTTTAGCTGTTTGAATCTTAGAAACATCGCTCATCGAAGATAGTAGTCATCATG